ACACACACACACACACACACACACACACACACACACACACACACACACACACACACACACACACACACACACACACACACACACACACACACACACACACACTGAGCTGAAGACGTTGGCCTACCGTCTTGCTCGGTCTTGGTCAGCTCCACCAGTTTCTTCTGCTTCAGAGTGTCCACCACGTCGGCCAGGCTTCCCTTGCGGCGCTCCGGCGTCCCGAAGGCGAGGCAGATCATCGGATCCTCTGGCTTCGGTGGAGAGGTAGAGTTAGTCCGGTATGAGTACACTGAGCAGCCTTTACTGCTCTCAATGTCCTGGAAAGAGACGGAGAAAGAGACTCAAGGTCAGGTCAACGCTGATTCTAACCTCACTGAATTCAGTTTACACCAGACCAATGCATCGCTTATATATACTTCATGCTAACGGTGTTATGTTGGGACTATCACACAATTGATTTGTTTAACATTGGTGTCAGAGTACTAGGTCTATTACAGAATAGAGCCCACTTTATTTCAACTAATAGGGTATTCAAAAGACCATTATAAAGGAGAAAAGAACATGAATACAACACAGGAATACTGTAAAGCTCAGCTAACCACATAGGCAATTTTGGATCAGTGCAAAATGAAATAACTTATTTTTAGATTAACTTAAATGAACTGAAAGAATTTTTTTTCTTTATTCCTGAAAGCCTGAGCTGCTTTTTTTACCATGGCAGTGTTTTTAATTTTCATTTTATTTCACTAAAGTTTGTTAGCATTTTATTTAGTATGTTAGTTTAGTACATTGCTTTAGTCTTATCTGCACTGAAGCTTTGCTGTTGCAACGCTGTGAACTTCATCGATGTCAGAAGAATAAAACGTTTCTTATTCTGATTATGCTTCTCAATAAAAACATCAGCTCCGCCAATGAGATTTTGCTTTCGGTTCGATTTGTTTTTTGGAAGGTTTACGGGAAAAAAATACAGGCACGATTTTCATTAAACTCAGTATTTGGCCAAAGAACAACACATTTAGGAGCAAACCCTCATCACAGTGCAGATGCATTCATTATTTTTCACTGAAACGGCCTTGCCGGTGGTCTGCTGTCTCTGAAGTCTCTTTCAGTTGAGTAATAATCCTGGGAGAGTTATGAACCTAAGGTTTTCCAAAGTTTAAGTCCCACAAATCAACAAACGACATGTTGGCACCGTTTCTTTGGCTTCTGCTCTATAGCCTGTTCTATAAGGTAGTGCCAATGTACAAGTACGAGTAACTCCATTGACGGACCCTTATATCTTCAGGAACAGAGTGTCTCGCCCACGGTTGTTTACTCTGCTGTGTTTTGAGTTAAGTGAGAGGCACAAGGAGTCTATATTTACCGAGAAGATAAGCCCTGCAAGACGACCACATTGTCCCACACAACAGACACTCCAGCACAGGTGTTCTAACACCGGGGTCTATTTCTGGACGCTTTCTCCTCCTCTTACAGAGTGGGGGGATCTCCAAGAACTTTAGGAGGCTTAGGTTTCAAAGACAAGGGGCTTTAACTAACAGCAGGATCTTAAGACGCCCTTGAAATGGCTCCTGGAGGCCCTGTTGTGCACTTTGTCTTTAAGCGGAAGATGCCTCTGTAATAAGGATTAGGAGATCGTGTGTCACTTGTGGGAAGTTCAGGTGTATTCTTTTCTGCTCGTGCACAACGCTGCCAAGGACTGTTACAGACAGAGTGGGGGAGGCAGATCATATTTAAAACCCAAAGGTCACACATTCAGTCGCTGCAGCACACAATAAACAACCATGAACCCCCGCTGTGATGCATTATTATTATTATTATTATTAAAAGTTAGAATAAAATATTTGAGGAAAGCTTTGTAGGCTTTGCACAATTCATGACTCTGTTCCCAAATCTGTTTTTAAAAGTGAATTCAAATGACGCATTCAATTTCAGGACTTTTGTGATACATTTATGTGAACTTTTTCAAATATACTTTTTTAAAAACTGGCCTTCAAATATCAGCAAATGTTCCAAAAGTTATTTGTCCTTAACTGTTTGGCGATGGTGGAAAAGGAAAATATTTAGTTGTCAGTCCTAAACTCCAATACCTTCCAAATAACTGTTTTATTACTTGCTTTTGTGTGTGTCGTGTTACCTCGTCACCCTATTGCTAACTTTTTGGAAAGTTTTTTTTAGTTTAAATGGTTCCTATCAGACTCCTGCTGTCAGCCATGTGGAGAATAGTCACATTCAGAGCTGTATGTGACAACTTCTAAAAGCAACATTTTGCATCAAGGCCACACCAAAAATTGTGTTTAAAGTTCTTAGTGTTTAATTGTTGTTATAATTATTATTTATTTCGAATCATTATTATAATTAATGAACATGTTCTGATAATACGCTACAAAGTGTTGCATATACTGTATTTCAAACGTGTGTACCACTTCTTGTGTTACAGGACAGACAAATGGACTTTTATCTTAGATACATTATGTTTAAAGCATTCATGCTCATATAAGCATATGTGTGTAATAAAAGGTAGAAAAGACCCTTCACAAACGCAATAAGTGACATGATTACAATGAAATACTGTTAATATCAGACAACTACAAAGGCAAATCTGAATCAGTGAAGAATAAAAAAACGAATCTGTATTTTTTTTAAAACATGAATAGGGCTTTTGTTTGGGAAGTGTGTTCTGCCACAACTTTGAAACCTAAGGAAACTTTACTCTCAGAACGTTCCCCTTCCCTCAGAGGCTGAAGTCAAACACACCTCCTCCATTAGGGACCAACAGAACCTGAAGCCAAGTAACTAACACCTCAACACACACACACACACACACACACACACACACACACACACACACACACACACACACACACACACACACACACACACACACACACACACAAAAACAGGCAGTAGAGATATATTAGAACCGAGGGCTATAACTCTCTGGAGGAGAAGCCTCACTGGGCTGCCTACAGCACTGCCTGCAGACACACACACCAGGGAGGACCACTGGTGTGTGTGTGTGTGTGTGTGTGTGTGTGTGTGTGTGTGTGTGTGTGTGTGTGTGTGTGTGTGTGTGTGTGTGTGTGTGTGTGTGTGTGTGTGCGTGTATTCAATTGTGCACAATCATCATTATGTATGAGAATCTGCGCAGCCTGTGTACCCCTGCATGTATTTCATGAGTGTTTTATGAGTCATGTGCCCGGAGTGTGTACACTGTGTACACTGTAGTGTGTACACACACTAACCACATTTGTTTTATAGATTTGAGTTATAGCAACACGTCTCAAGATAAGATATGGTCAATTTCTCAGCGCCGCGCGTAATTCACGTCTCACCATCGCAGCGGGCACCACGTTCTCCCACTCAGCATCCGTCAGCTTCTCCCTGATTGGCTGCAGCTCGTCCGGGTGGGGTCTGTCGTGTGAGGGGGGGGTCGGCGGCTCCATCGGGCCCTCTCTCTCCTCGCTCGTCCAGGCCGGGTTGTCCTGACCCATCGCTTCCTCTTCCTCAGATGCTGGGTGGAAGGGAGGCGTTGCTCGCATGGAAGACATCATTCTGCGAAGGAAAGGGAAAGGAAATGGTTTCAATTTTGTGGCCACAGTTTGTACCGGTACATCAACATATGTCAAGTATGTCAAGTATGTCATTATAGGCACGTTTTGGGTATAGAAGAAGAGGGATGAGGAGAAGGCTTGATACAACATAACATAATGTAGGAAAGAAGAACCCGTGATGAGCTGAGGGTCTAAACTTGGGCTGCTGACCTCAGAAGGATAGAGAAGGAAACATATTGATCACCAGTGAGACAGTGACCAAAACCATCTTGAAGAGGTTGTTGTGGGACATTGCCATAAAGGTTAGAAGGTGTGTAAAAATACATCTCTTCCATTTTGCAGTGAACGTACTGCATAGCTGAGTCAATTTTTCCCAGCCAAGGATCCATTGTTGTGTGTGATTGAGTGTGTGAGCATCTCTACAGATATCCATGCATACTCCTGCTCTAATCTGCTATTTATTTAGTATGCTCATGTATGGCTTTATGCTCAATGACCTCTCTTGGTTTGCGGTAATTCAATACATTTTTATCACAATAAATTCTTGTGGGATTAAATGTTTTTTCAGGCAGCTTCAGGGCGGCAGTAAAACAGCTCTGCCCCAGACACACCTGGCAGAGGCATGCACTCTCTAATGCTGTACTGAAACATACTCTGTAATGTGGACAATCATTAAAGGAAAATACACTTTTCGTAACTAAATCATAGGTACGTACTTATTATTGCTTATATTTATTGTAGGTATTAATTTTGTATTTTTATAAAAATGTGTGTTAGAGCCTATGCTTGATTATCATTATTACTATTACTATTATTATTATTATTATTATTATTATTATTTATAATTAGAGTTTTCTGATAATTCGCTAAACATTGTTGCATATACTGTATTATCTTCGTTTCCCCCCTTACTTTGGTGTTTGCGGTCAAATTTGACCGTTCCTGTTTTAACTGCTATTACATTAACACAAAAACCATTAATCATCAAATATACAAAGATAGACACTGAACATGTATTGCGTGTGCCAGGTGTGATCCATGTGGGGGGATGGGCACATAAGAGCGGGAAATGTGTGTGTGTGTGTGTGTGTGTGTGTGTGTGTGTGTGTGTGTGTGTGTGTGTGTGTGTGTGTGTGTGTGTGTGTGTGTGTGTGTGTGTGTGTGTGTGTGTGTTTTATCTGATCCGGATGGTTACTAATTCCTTTTCTTTATGGCGGTCACACCATGCGTGTTACAAAGTTGACTAAATCATCCAAAATGCAATCACAGTAGTGATCAGCAATTGTATATGTTCAAATGTCTACTGTGAAGGATATCATAAAGCCTTAATGCAATCGAATGTAAAACAAAAAAGTTATGATTTGATGAAAGTAGTAAATCGGTCAGATTTGACCCGAAGACAACAGGAGGGTTTTAAAGGACCATTTTGGTTATTGAAACGTGGTTCTTATTTTTTACATTTCTATCATTTAACTTACCAATGTAATACAGTAGCTTTAATCTGGAAATGTAAAATATTGAATGTGTTATTACTT